TCTGCCCTCTCCGGCCGTGGTATGTATGTGGTACATACACCAGTAACGGCAGGGAGGGAAGGACCGTGCGCCGAGGCTGTGGGAATTGAACTGTCGAAGCTCCATGCTGGAAGCAGAAGCAACTGCTGGAAATGCCATGAAATCACAGTCCAACATGCAGGTGTGCTTAGGTGTATGCTCCAACTGTGCCACAATGTATTTTTCCATCTGTTTTCTGCTGTTTTGAGAATGTACTCTATTGCTAAATCAAGCAATGTAACCTTGGAGAAGAAAAATCCTTTGGGTTAAGGCTTTAGAATAAGAGAATTAATCTGGTTTGAAAATTCTGTCCTTCTGAGGGTCTACTTTTGTCATTTACTTAGTTTAGAAGATGAATATGGCAAAATATATTATTTATTAAAGTTGATATAGGCACTAGGCTGTAGCTTCCTTTTCTCACACACTCATACATTAAAATTAATAGAAGAGAAGCTTCTAGCAGTTTAAACAGAATTTGCCTGTATGGCACTAGGAGTAGGAGTCTTTCCTTATTTTTGTAAATTATTTAGCAGCGATACAAATATTTTAAAACTCAAAATTGTGGATGGTCTTTTTTTTTTTTTTCCCCTTGCTTGCTTGTTTGCGTTTTAAACACAGTTGTAATTTCAAGTGCTATTGGTGTCTCCTTAGAGAAACCTGAACATCTTTCCTTGCAGTGTCATAAAGTGTGTAATGGCTTTGAGTTTATTTTGCCGATACTGATGATAGTTGCTAATCACTGCTGCCAGAGGCTAAAGCAGAGGTGCTATCGTTAGCATACAGATGGGGTGAATTTTGGAATTTCTGTGTAAGCACAAGGTTTGCAAATTTGGATTGAACAAAAACTGAGTAAAGGTGGTAGAACTTGCGTTGATAAATATACAGATGTTTGCTGCTGGGTTACATGGAAGTTTGTGATTCTGCCATATGTTCATGAGAGTTCTGTTTGCTGTTTGCAGTGAAGGAAATTTAGAACTGTATTACAGTCCATCAGTGCCTATTTTTACTACAAGCAAAAGGCTTGTTTGGGAACTTATTTTTCTTTCTTTTGAACTTCTCCAGCCTTCCACTAGCTGCCAAACCATCCAGTGACTAGAATATCTGTTCACCCCCACAGAGAACTTGATGATTTTTTTTTTTTTTCCATGCCTCCATAGTGTGGGACACCATGTTCTGCTAGAGAGCACCGTAACAATGTGCGCTGCATAACAAATGTGGAAGTCTAAGGCTCAGTTTGTGAGTGTCCCTAAAACCATATGACCTATTCTGTAGCCTTGTGTCACAATTCAGGAATTGGTCCTGTATTCTATGAATATACATATAAATACCTACATTTGCAGCTTAAATTCCTAGCAGTTATTTTTTAAGGAGTGTCCCAAAATGAATTTATGGCATTTAAAATCGAGTAACAGTCATTGTTATCAATCGCAAGACAAGAAGATAAAAACATTATAGCTTTTAGCTCTTACGGCCATTTCTCTGCCTTGGAATGCCCCAGATTAAGTGTGGATCACACAGGATACTGTAGTCAAATTGTGTTCAAACAGTAGCATGAGTTGATTTGGACAGGAGCTTCTAAACACATTGAGCTTCCCGGACCTCAGTTGCCTCCCTAAGACCCAGTAGAGCTTCTCTGCGGATTATCAAATGCCTGCAGACCATCCAGGTAATACAGTCATGTGCAGGGTTCTTAGCCCTGCTTTCTAAATTAATAAAGTGCAGTACTCCTCTGCAAACTGACCTCAGACACGGCGTCTGGTAAGAGCCAGTAGCAACCTACACAAAAGACAGCCTGGGATTCACCTTACCCTCCCCACTGCTGTCGCTTGTCAGAGGGAAAGGTGGAAGTAGTGTAAACCAAAGATACCTTTAGGTGCGGCATGTAGAGGATCCCAAGGAGGTTGCAATAAATTTAGTTTGGAAAGATTCAAAAGTTTTCATAAGCAAAGTTGCAGGACAGATGAGTGGGGATGAAATAGTGTAGGAAAAGATGGAGAAAGTTTTTGTTCAAGACCGGGAATAGATTGTACATCTCCTGTGAGTGCCCACAGAATCCTTGTATCACTTTGCACCATCGCTGTGCTGGTTTAGAAATTCTGTGGTTTTAGAGAAACATTAAGCATTATTGGTTTCAGGGAAACATTTTTTACAGCTCCAGGAATATTCTCAGTACAGATCAAACCCAGTGCAAACCAAGTTGCTTTTGCCAAACTTCATGCAGCAGAGAAAATGTATTGTAATGGAGATGTCCATCCCTTCTGCTGCAGATCATCACACATCCCATATACAGAAACGAATGCAGATACTCTGTCTTTGAAAGGTATGAATGTACGTAGTGTTGCTTGTGTGTTTATATAGTATGTATTGGGGGGCAGGAGGGAGGACAAGAAAGGAAAGAGGAAGGATGAAGTTCTAGGTTATTAACAGACATTAATGTTAAACTTATTTTAAAAACCTTGTCGTTACCAAGACCTGTTTTACGTTGGTGCATGTCTTGAAAGACGTTACAGACTCTTAAATTATAGCACAGGTGATACCTCCATGATGCCATTTTAGATGTGAGTGAAGGCATGAACTGTAACAAAAGAAACCAATCTGTTGGATGCAAGTGATGACAGATAAGAACTCAGTCTTTGTAAATTCTCTTTTGATAGAGCAACCTACGCATCATTCAGTTGGTATAAATTCAGTTGGTGTCTTCATTGTGATGAAGTTAGCCTGAATTCCACTTCAGTTTCAAGTATCGTGTCAATGATGAGAGCTAAGTGACTCTGAAGACTTTGAGGAATGATTCACATAGCCTAAGACATGGAGTAGGGTGCTGCCTAAAACCACTCAGCAGGAGACACCTGGCACATGGATTTGGTGGATTTAGAACATGTGAATATAGTGCTCAATGATTTCAGGTCCATAAACAGTTTCAAACATATTTAATGAACTCCTTTTTTACTAATGAGTCTAAATACATATGGCTAATGCACATTTTGAAACTCAATACAGCATTTAACTGACTGAACTACTGTTGCAATTTTTGATGCCCTTCATTGATTCCTTGTTTCACAGAGGTTGAAGAGTACAATGGAGAAAAAGTGTTTCAAATTAATCTTAATAAGAAGGTGGTTTTGGTTTGTCATCGTCCCTCTCTGACAGAATACAGAAGCAGCAATAAATGTGATATACCATACATATAGGAAAGCCCTGAGGAACAAAAGCCTTTGTGTTCAGCTCCTTCATGTGACATTCCCATGAGCAGTACAGAGCAGTAAGTTTTAGCTGAAACTGTTGTTGTTGCACGGTTAGTTTAGAAACTCCTGCTCCACAAGTTTTTTGTCAGGATGAAATGAAGTATCAAGTAGAGGAGTCTGCCTTCATCCAGAACTAGTCAATGTCTTTGTTAATGACTTGGATGAAAGAATAAAACGAGCTTTATGTTTTCAGACAATTAGAAGGTGGAATGATCTTCAAGCACATTCAAAAATATAATTAGGATTGAGAATGATCTTGACAGATTGGAGCAGTGGCCTGAAGTAAATAGTGAAATAGTGGCCTGTCAGTAATGACAGAGAAAGCATGACACTTTGTGGAAGTTCTGCAGAAAAAAGAGGTGGGAATAGTACTCAGTCACAGGCTTGAACGTGAATCGGCAATATCATAGTGCACCGACAGTTTCGTGTAGTGATGTACAAACAAGAATGGCATAGATTGTTACAATCAAAGAGATCCTTCCAATCTGTTTGCTACTACTACAGCCTTAAGAGGAAGATTATATCCAGTTTTCAGCAGCAAATATTAAGAAAGAGGGACATTTCCTTCCAATTACAGAGAACTGTGAGCCAAGCAACAGAGGTTTAGAAAATGTGACCCAAGATGGATTGAGAGATTTTTTTTCATTCAGAGAAGAGGAAACTGCAACACAAACGTTAGAATGCATTGGAGATGGAGGAGAAAAGGAAGGTAGCAAATGGGTTTTCATCCTGTATGGATGGATCAGTTTCAAAGGTTGATGTGGGGGTTCCAGAGCTCTGGAATATAAACCCAAAGGTAGAAAATGGGGCAATGAATTGAAGAGTTTAGAACTCCTGCATAGGTAAAAGGAAAATCTGTCTCGGAGGATAGCTGAGCATGGGAATGGTTTTCCTGAGGAAGTCTGGGTATCTTCATCACTGGAGGTTTTCAAGAATACCTTCGAGAATACAACAGTTCTTGAAATGGTTTAGGCCCTTCATAGCCTGTTTTTAGACCTGGTTGGATTCAGTATGCTTTATGTAATTTGAAGGCTATGTTTAATCTTGGCTTTGATACCATCTGCAATTGCTGAACAGTTTTAGAGTCTTCCCTGCTGTTTTCTGTCAGTCCCAAACCAGCAGAGCCTCTTCTCTGCTTCTCTCTTCTCTGGCTTAATTTCTGGTCCCTTTACACCTCTCTCCACTTTATGAATAAAATAAGTGAAGAAGGAAAAAAATATTGAAGGATTCAGTATGTGTTTTGTTATATTCCTTCAACATTTTGTCATAAATAGAGTGAAAGATGGGAGAAAGGGCTTTTCTTTCTAATCATCTAACCGTAATCTTACTCTTCTTTCTAGTGTACCCATGGTCTCCAGTGATCACATAGTCTCTACATTTATGTTATTGCTCCAGCAGCTTGATTCTGGGATATTGTGGTCTCCCTCAGCGTCACTAACAGTGACAATACTAAGAGTATTGCATAGCAGTATTGAAATCCGATAATGCTGTGAAAATTCATTAGGGGGACTGGTGCAATACAGTGCTTTTATGTATATTATAGGTAGAGTTTTAGTAGGTATCTTTTATGTTGACTGATGTGCTTTTATAACTGCTTTTTATATTTATAGATATCACTACTGAGGCAAGTATATAACTGCTCTTGGAATGCAAGCAGTTTTCAAAAGACCAAATTTTGACAGAATTGTACACAAATAATTGGTGTCTTGTTTTTCCCTTCTTTCCCTCCACTTTTAGCTGGCTGTGAGGTGGTTGGAACACAACTGCCGCTACCAGTACATGGATGAACTTCTCCAGTATGTCCGCTTTGGCCTTATGGATGTGGATACGCTGCATACTGTAGCTCTTTCTCATCCTCTCGTTCAAGCTAATGAAACCGCAACAGCACTAATTAATGAGGCCTTGGCTTACCACCAGAGCGTCTATGCACAGCCAGTTTGGCAAACCAGAAGGACAAAACCTCGCTTCCAGTCAGACACTCTTTATATTATTGGTGGGAAAAAACGTGAAATCTGTAAAGTGAAGGAATTGCGGTACTTCAATCCGGTGGATCAAGAGAACGTTCATATTGCAGGGATTGCAAACTGGAGTGAGCTAGCACCTATGCCCGTAGGGAGAAGCCACCACTGTGTTGCTGTCATGGGCGACTTTCTTTTTGTAGCCGGTGGAGAGGCAGAGCACTCCACGGGACGCACTTGTGCGGTGAGAACTGCCTGTCGATACGACCCCCGCACTAACTCGTGGGCTGAGATCGCTCCGATGAAGAACTGTCGGGAACACTTTGTGCTGGGAGCCGTCGATGAGTACCTCTACGCAGTTGGGGGCAGAAATGAATTGCGTCAAGTGTTACCTACAGTGGAACGCTATTGCCCCAAGAAGAACAAGTGGACGTTTGTACAGTCCTTTGATCGATCGCTCTCATGCCATGCAGGATATGTGGTGGATGGTCTTCTTTGGATATCAGGTAGAAAACGTTTCACACAGTTTGAGGTACTAACAAAATACCAAAATACTGTCTCGAATGAAACTAATAAATCTTCTTTGGTTTATATGTCATGATAACTTTTGTCTTAGGAGATGAGTATTTCAAAGAAATTAAGCCTGGAAGCGTACAATGAAGCCTGGTTAGAAGTATAGGAGCATAACGTACCTGTACAGTATTTTTTGTCTGCTAAATATCCCTCTGTATTTCAAAGCTGTATATATATCATATGTGCTACCTCCAGTCAACATTCATAAATGACAGTGAATTAGAATTATAATGCACTTTTGGATAAATGTCAGATGAGAAATTCTGTGTGTTTTCTCAAAACAAAAAACAAGACCCAGTTTCCATAGTATGATCTGGTACCACTGCATTCATTCCTGGTAATGAAATGGAGAATTAAGTGCTTGTTGGCTTGTGTCGATCCAGGGCTTGAAGGCAGGTGTACGAAGTGCTCCTGCTTGTTCTTCAGGATATTGTAACAGCCAAGATGACCTTCATTAGAAATCATGCACAGCTTTGACTGTCCATAACAAGGGCACAGGACTGCCTGGATGTAATCATAGCTTTATAGCACAGGTAGATGAAAGTATAGACCTTGTAATCTTAAACTAGCATATAATTTGCAACTCAGTCTGATACGCTTTTTATTTTACATGTGCATATTGATGGGAGTTGAGGATGTTGTGTCATCAGTCTTTGTAGTGACTTTTCTGGTATTAGTTACTTTGGAATAAGGTCGATGCTGTCTACAGAAGATTTGACAGAAAAATGTCCACCTTTTACTAAGAAGTGTGTTGTGGAAGGTTATAAAGTTGTAATATTTATCAAGGAAGTTAATGAGTAAATGGGGCCAGCCCTTCAGGAAAATGTTCAGTGATTGCTATCTTCACTGTGGATATCCTCTGGGGATTTTAGTACGGTCTGGGATGCCTCTGGTGAAAAGATGGTGTATGAATGAAAGATTAAGTTAGGTACTGAAGCCTTCTCTGTGATCTCAGAGTATGTCGTTTAGGTTAGCGGAGCAACTTGCAACTGTACCTTTCTGCCTGTATGGTTTAAGTGCCTGATGGGAATGGATTCCCAAGCATTGGCGGGGGAGGTCGCAGGTATCTGTTTTTATACAGATACACTAAAATCATGAATGATGACTTTGGAATTAAAAGCATGACAGAACGCAGAAAATCACCAAGATCCCTGGCAGGTGCTTTGGGTTGCTTTCTTCAGCAATTGGCATTGAAGGAGTCTTGGAGAGTTTGTGCTGAGTCTTGGAGAGTTTGTGCTGTGTGTTAATCCTGAAGCGTGCACACAGTGGACCCAGGTACGGCACAGAAACAGGGTTTCTGCTTTAGGCTGCCAGCTGGGCGCGTTCAGAGCATTACCCGGTTCATTCACTGCCTTCCCTGTTTTATCAGTGGGGAGGGATGTGTGTCTGTGATGGGCCATTCAAATACATGGGTGCTGCTACTGCTCTCTCTTGATATTTATTTTTTTTCCTCTTGTGGTTCCCATTTGTCAGTCCCTATTTATGAAAAACTTTTTTGGGAAATTATGTTAAGCATATTCGTATAAAATCATTGACTGAGCACTAGAAACATCCATCGTTGTGGTCCTTGCTCTAGTACATGAAAAAAGTAATCTTTTTTTTTTTCCTTAATTTCATTTTTTTTCTGCAAAACAAAACAAAAAACATGACAAAGAAAACCCCCAACAAACCAAGGAAGTATTTGATAGGAATTTTTAAGTCAAATGTGGGACTGGTTGAAGATTACTTTTAATCTCTCCAGATATGCTAGGAAAGGGAAAGCTATGCAGAGGATTAATTGATGTGCTTAGTTACGTAAGTGGAATGCGTGCATGCCTGTGTGTTTAAATACTATCTGCGTTTATCTGCTGAAGCAGTGTGATATTGTGTTCAAGGATGTGCCTCTAATACAGCTGTAGGATCAGGGGAAGAGGTAAGTGGAAGCCTATTAGATGAAGATTTAAAATTGGGCAAAGCAACAAAAAATATTTTATCAGTATTGTTCCATTTAAATCTGAAAACGCTACCAACATGACTTCTGTTGTAAAGTCACAGTAAGGAGCAATGTTTTGGCAGTGGAATAAGATAGACAGGAGTTTTGGGTTGTATTTTATATAGCTTTTGAGAAAATGCTTAGCAGTTTTGAGTTGCTAGATTCTGACAGGTTATTATGAAGTATGAGAGCATACTATGCAATACTTCAGTAGGGTATTGATCTGAATTATGTACTCACAGATTGGAAACTGGTTTCTGTGTATTGAATAGTTATTTTAAAAATAAAAGTAGATGGAGATGCAATAACTGTAGCTAGCTTTCTATTATTAATTAATTGCTTGGGGCCAGAATGTAGCTCACTGTACATGTATATTCAGGGACAGGGGAATAGTAGAGAGAGATGTTTCATTGTTCCAAAAATGTCACTGCTGAAAAAATCCACTGTTCGTCATCAAATATAAGGTGTTAGCATAAAAGTAATCAGTAGTGCAAGAGGGAACCTAATTTTGAAGTATGTGACCTAAAATTAAGTAATTAAAAAATTAGTCTGAGTTAGGGATCCCTGCTGCTTTTTCTGGGAAATACGGGTCATCAGCAAGAGCTCTCAAAGTCAGTCCGCTACTACCAGCTGGCAAGGTAACCATGAAAATGTACCCAGTTTTTTAGTAAGTGAATAAATTAAATAGTGCTAAGTTTCTAGCCCTTCTATTTGTGGAGAGAGTCATCAAAACATGACTCGCACACCAACCCTGTACTTACTCTATAGCCAAAGCATCAGTGCCTCTGCCACAGCCCCTTGTCTTCTAGAGGCTTTGCTAGTCAAAAGCTGCCTAGACTGAAGGGGTTTCTGTTATTATTGTTATTGGGATTCATTCTCAGCTTTACTTGCTGCTCCTTTGGGACAAATACGAGAAGGAATCAAAAATAATAGAGTATAAAATCATGGCAGAGGCAGCAGGGAAGGGAAACGTGCTGAATAAAACGCTATATGAGCGTAAGCGCATGCTGGCGGTGGGAGGTGGGTGCCGGTGTTTCGGGTGATGGAGGGACTCCGGACGCCGCTTGGGGGCTTTTCACCTGCTCAGGAGGGAACCGACCGCGCTCTGGAACCCATCAGAGCCTCTGGCCAGCACAAGTGGGTTCAGCTCTTGAGTTTTCTGAGCTCCATATATTGTAGAACATATTTTTTTAGATTTGAGTCATTATTTTTTCTCGTCTTTTTTTTTATTATTTTTTCACAGCCCTCATTTTATTTTGTTTTCTTATTTTAAAAAAATAGAGAATTCATTAAAATAAGTTCTCTGTATTGACAGTACAGCCTCGGGCAGATGGTTTGGAAGTTTTCTAGAAAGATGAATCTTACAGGCCCCAGTTAACATCTGACACTCTGACCCTTTTCACAAACGCATTGCACGCCACATGCTTGAAAAGTGAAGTATTTGAGTGAAAGGGAAACAAACCTCACCAAACCCTTTGGAGTTCAATTACTAACAATCATTCCCTATAAAAAGCAGGGAAATATTTTCCATAAGAGTGAGAACTTGAACTATGCACGCTTCACTGCATCCTCGCTGGCGCACGTATGTAAATCTGGAGACCTGCTTTTCTATAGGCGTTAACCTATAGGTGTGGTGTCCCTGGGGCCAGAGAGGGGCAGGGAACCTCCGCCAGGCAGTTCAGTTCTGGGCCATCGCTGCGCCTGCAGCCGGGGGTAAGGAGGCTTCCCCCCAGCCTCAAGTGCTCCGGGGATTAGCACATGAAAAGTCTTCTCTCCAGCAAAGTACTCTGCTGTTGTTCCACAGAGGTCCGAGTTGCCTGACCTTAAGTGTGTCACCTAAAATAACATCTTGATTTTAGGTGACAATTCCATACATGCACATGGAAACTCAGCTCGGGGAGGGGGGGTTAACAAGCCAACCCCGTACGGTTGCTTGTATTTAACAGCTTTTTCTTCAAACTTCAAGATTCTTGTTGTTGTTGTTGTTGTTACTATTTTTTCCCTTAATGGTGGAGCTTTTGACCAAGGAAATGATGGAGATCACGTATCTTGGAGAATTATTCTGAGTTTGCAAGTGGTTTAAGGTGAAAAGTATTACCTTATTATCAATATGCTGTCATGAGGAGAAGAAAATTTTTTTTCTCAGTAAATACCTATAAAATTCTTTTATGAAAAATAGATCTGGAATTTACAGTATCTAACCAAATCAAATTTTGCAGTGCAGCTGGCACAGAAATTACCAGGAGCAGGAGGTTAACAAGTACATCAAAATTGCCTCAATGACCCAGTCTTTGTATATGGAACAGTATTTCTTTATTATTATTATTATTAATT